ATATTTTGCTTATGTTCAACCATTCATTGCAGGATAAGGGGAAGGAAAATTTGTGTTATTTTTCCTAACACAAGGTTATGTATTTAGCCAAGTTCAAGAATACATATCAAGGGCTAGGTTTTGTCTTGATCTGTGTTTTATTATCGGATTAAGTAAAGTTCATTTTTAGTTATAACTTATTTTTAAAATGGATCTCTTGTGTGTGTACGTGAGTGGTTGGTTATAATTGTGAGTAATGACCCAGATGTTGATGCCAGATTTTAGAATCAGCAAACTTGTTATTGTAGCATTTATTTCAAGTACGTTCTTGATACTTAATAGAACTTCCATGTAGTTTGAGTATGAACAGATTGTTGTGCTATTTAGCAGAATCAATCATCCTCCCAGTGTTGTTTTGCACAATGGAACAAGTCAGCGAACAAAATATTACATGACAATTTGAGTCATGTAGCAATTTTGTTATGGATATGAGGTTGACACAAAACTTAGAAAGGTAAAGCACAACTGATTAAACAAGAGATGAAAAGAGAAGTATGTTCCGAAAATGGGTAGCAAAAACCTGGTTGCCATCAAGTAGTTTGATAGAGATTGATTTAGTTTGTCAAAGGGAAGAAAACAAGCTAATGTGGTGGGTTATATGGTCAATAGCACTCGTATCAAGGACCCAATGAATATCAGCATTACCTGGCATTGAGGATATAACATTTTTCTGAACCACATTTGATGAGTGAACCATGTCTTGCTTTGGCTTTTGAATCAAATCTAGTAGGCTTTGGTATTGTTCTTTAGTGAAGTGAAAATTCTCGTTAGATTCAGCATTCTGTACGCATTCATCCTCTACACATTCAAAAGGATCATTAGTGTCATATAAAAGCCATATTAGCTTTTTGGTTTACCTTGCTCTTGTAGCCTGATGAATAGCCATGCTTCTCAAAGCATATTGTCTCAATTGTATGATTCGTTTTACCACAATGAGTGCATAATTTTTCAGCACATGATCACCCTCTTCCTTAGCTTGAACGACCTTTGCCTTTGCTGGAATTGTGGCCATGAGTTTGTGATTGATCATTAGTGTTCAAGAAAGCCTTAACATCAACATTCACATCAGCATTAATCTGTCTTTCCTATTGTGTAACTAAAGAAAATACATTTGGAATTGGATCCATCAACATTATCTGTGATCGAACATGTGCAAAATGCTCATTAATTCCTTTCAAGGACCGAATTGCAATATCTTTGGCGACTCATTCGTGCCTGCATCTGCATTACCTTACCACAAGCACAAGTTGGATTGTAGCTTCACCTTGGCAATGACTATAAGCTATCAAGTTCGTTCAAAAAAGTTTTGAGCTTGGTAAATACTAAGTTACCATATTATCACCTTGATTTAGACGATAAATATCCTCTTGGATATCTACAATACCAAATACATCCGATTGAGAGAAGTGCTCACAAAGATCCTTACAAACATTTGGAGTTTGTTCCATCTATATATATGATCGACTATGTTATCGAGTCAACATCTAGGGGAGCTTTTTTATTTTTTTGGGTACATATCTAGGTGAGCTTTGATACCATAAAAATTGAGAAGGAACTGAGAATATTGAATTGAGAGATATGAAAATTCTCATCACACCTTTATCGGATACATGTACCAATATATACAGTGACTCCAACTAACTGCTATATCACACATGCAGAAAAGATAATATAAAAAAAAAAAAAAAAAAAAAAATTAAAAGTGCGAACTAACTGTAACAAAGTAGCTATAACAAATTATCCTAGCTCAACTTAACTCACATACAAACCGCATACACGTAAATCACTACATATACTAATACCATATCATTAAAATAAATTCGTCCAAATCTTGTATTATGCACTTGTTAGCACAATAGTGGATTAGAACAAGACTCGGATTAATAGGAAGTACTAATTATTATAAATATTTTTTAAGAATAGACTAACTATTAGTATTAATACCGTATTTTTATTAAAAAATCATTTAATATATAAAATAATAAAAATATTAAAATTTAAATAGGAGCGGCCGCCAATATTAGCCCCTTCCTCGATTCGCCCCTGCGAACAATTGTTTAATAGTTGCTTAATAATTTTTGTAAAATTGAATTGGTCACATGAAATATATGTGACATTTTTTTGTTAATGGGGTAGATTTTTGGATTATGTAGCTTCTTTTGCGTATTTAGTAAAAGTCAATAATACTTTTGTAAATGTACTTATTTTTTCAAAGAAGAAGTGATTTTTTGTGACAACAATATATTTGTAATTTTAAAAACTATTTTTTCTTCTTCTAAGAATTAAGGTTATCGACTGACGTGACGGAGAGAGAGAAAGAAAAATAACATTAACACAAAGAAAATAGAGAGAGGGGGCGAGGATCAAACTCATAACAAGAGACTCTGATACTAGAGACTCTGATACCATATAAAAAATCAAATCAACCCATAAGTCTTTTTTTTTTTTGGAAAGTATCAACCCATAAGTCTAGGTTGTTTAATGAGCTTGTTTTAATTTTTTTTATACAAAATTCATGTACACTGAAATATATACAACGTTTATATTGATAATTTTTTATTATTTGAAATGTATTTTATCCAAAATTGTTCTTATCTTCTATCCATAAAAAAATAAACTTCAAGACAAATGCCCAAGTACCCAACGGATATTACGAGGTGAAGACTTTTGAAAATACACGGCTTTTAAATTAGTATTATTTTAGAGTGGTTTAATTTTTTTTTTTAAATTATTACTTCTATAAAATAATATTTTATATTTTTTTATTTAAAAATACAATTTTTATTTAAAAATACAATTTTTATAATGTAAAATGTAATTTTATTTTAATCTAAAAGAACAAGCTGGTATTTATAAAACTCCCTTGTGCCATAGAATGGGCAAACCGATTGTGTGTGATCTTTGACCCATTGGGCTTTGTTGAGTTTTTAATTTATCAATGAGTTATTTGGTTTACGATATTTATCAATCGGGGTCGTTTAGTGACGTGAGGGGACCTGGCGTTACTGAGTGCCGCACATAGGGGTGTAAATGGACTGGGCTGGGCTTTGGCCATTCTGGCCCAAACCTACGTCAAAAAAAATTCAGCCTATCTGGCCTACTGGCCTATTAAAGGCTTTATTTGTAGGCCAAGCCCGGCCCATTTTCAAAAATAAGAAAGCCTGACATGGCCTACAGGCCTTGTAGGCCTCCCACTATATATACTAAGCAAAAAAAATAAATGTATAGAGCAAAGAAAGTTCCATTCATGCATGCACTAGTACTTCTTATAAGAAAAAAATGACAAACAAGAAAGAGTCAACATAATACCTCACCTCTAGAATGTATATCATAGAGGAATAGAGTCGAAGAAATGGGAAAAATAAAAAAAATACAATTACTGGATGCTGAAATAAAGTCTACAAGAGAATGTCATTTATCTAAAAATCTTCAAACCACCATCAAGACAAGGGAAAGAAGATTATTATTGAAAGATCTTCATCAGTAACATTATAATCTAGCAAGGTACCCATTGCTCCATGGTATTAAGCTGCAACAACATGTAAAATTTAGAGACATTATACAAGTTTTTCTTTCATAAAATAAAATAGCACAAAAAGTAAGAGATATTGGTATTTGGTACTTTGTGTCTTTGCCACATAAAATAATAATAATAGATATTTTATTTTAATAAATTAAATAGGCCAGCCTACAAGGCTGTAGGCCGGGCTTGACAAAATTGGCCTATGGCCTATTTATTAAAAAAGCTTTTTTATAAGCCTAAGCCTACTCTACTTTCCTGAAAGGCTGGGCCCGAGCTGGGCTCAATGTAGGCCGAGCCGTAGGCTGGGCTGGGCTAGCCTGGCCCATTTACACCCCTACCGCACACCTCCCCCTGCGCCACTCACACTTCTTTTTTTTTTTTCTTTTTTTTTTAATTGAGTGTTGTCCCCACGATTGTGCCAAGTGGCACAATTCCGTTTGTCCCGTTACAGTAAAACTTCAGAAGACCATAACTTTTGACTCGGGTATTCAGAGCAGGTTATTTGTTTTTTTATCTCACATAACTTTTCGAGATCTACGCAATGACATCTTATTTGACATATTTTGTCTCTCACAAACATAATTCAAATTTGTAAAAAAATGGAACTATTGTTGTAAATTTGAACTATGTTAATGAAAGATAAAATATGTCAAATAAAATGTCATTACGTAGATCTCGAAAAGTTATGTGAAATCAAAAAACAGATAATCTGATTTGGATACCCTAGTCAAAAGTTATGGTCTTCCGAAGTTTTACTGTAACGGGACAAACGGAATTGTGCCACTTGGCACAATCGTAGGGGGACGACACTCAATTAAAAAAAATAAAAATAAAAAAGTAAAAGAAGTGTGAGTGGCACAGGGGGAGGTGTGCGGCACTCAGTAACGCCGGGTCCCCTCACGTCACTCAATAACCCCAATTAGTAAATACCTTGAACCAAATACCATATTGACAAATTAAAGAGATAAAAACTCCAAATAGATCAAAAGAGTCCAATTGTGTGCTCTATAAAAATTAGCAAGAGAATTTATTACACGATCAAACTTTGCTACATCACAGGACAACATCGAGGCTGTCCTTCTAATATATCCACGAACAAATATATAATAGATTATGATATCGTCTTTGAATGTAAATCCGATACAATAGAATATAATTTTTTCATCAAAATTACGAAATTCATATTTCTCATGTCTTAAACGATAATTATATTTCCAACACATAAAAAAAAATATAAGACTGATATGAAATATCATATAATAAGAGAAAAAAAAAAAAAAAGGTCATACAAACTTTTTTATATATGCGTAATTTTTTTTTTTTTACGTCTTATGGTAAACATTAATCCCTAATATTATACACATTAATCCCAAAAAATAATGATTTAAATAGTTATAAATGTGTAACGGAGCTCTCTAGTAGTCCAGTGTGAGTGTCACTGAGTTGGCATCTTAATCTCAAAATCCAGAAATGCCAGTCACTTTGCAAACTCCGCCTTCTGTTGCAGCTTTTTCCTCAGCTGCATCATCTTCCATTATTCACACAAGATCCACCTTCTCCTTCTCGCTTCGTTCAACGCCCCCTCCCTATCTCATCTTCAAGTTCCACAGCTCCCTCCCTCAAATTCGCGCTTCCTCTTCCTCTATCAATACTGGTAGTAATAATAATAATAATAATTATTATTATTATAATATACCTCTTCTCTTTCTCTACTTGTTACTTAATTTGACATTTTCCCTTGTTACCTCTCTTATTTCGCAATTTCCATTTTCAATAAGCAGCTTCCACAACTGAATTGGATGCTGTATCAGCCTTCAGCGAGATCGTTCCAGACACCGTCATTTTCGATGATTTCCAGAAGTAACGTTGCTTTTCTTCCTTCTTCCTCTATAAATAGTGAATTTTAATTAATGTTTGATCTGATAAACGAACCTTCACTACAGGTTTCCTCCAACTGCTGCTACTGTTAGTTCATCGCTTCTCTTGGGTATATGTGGCCTTCCAGACACCATTTTTAGGGTCAGCCCTTTCATCTTTCAAAACCTAACATGTACATTTTTTGTCTCATTCTAAGTGATTCAGTGAGTGAGTTACATCTTTTTTTTTTTTTTTTTTTTTTTGTAGAATGCTGTGGAAATGGCTTTGGGTGATTCTGAGTGTTACCGGCTTGAAAATCCTAACGCAAGATTGTCGTGTTTCTTTAACAAGGTATTTCTTTTTGCTCATGGTTCATTACTTTCTAATGCCTATTTTTTCTTTCTTTTAATTATCAATTTTAAAAAATAAAATAAAAATTGATTTACTAATGATTGAGAAAACGTTTTTTCTATCCGTGGTTGTTTAGTGGATTTGGTCCTGAAATTGTAGGCTTTAGTGAATGTCGGTAGTGACATGGCAAAGCTTGTCCCTGGCCGTGTTTCAACAGAAGTGGATGCACGTCTTGCTTACGACACGCATGGCATTATCAGGAAGGTATTTGGTTCTGTTTCATGACACTTATAACGTTAAAATTCTATTGCTATGCATCTTGAACACGAGATTATAATGTTGAAGACAATTGGAGGCTCAATGCCTTCTTTCTCCACGGTGAGAAATCCAAAGTCTTCTGAGGTTTAAAATTACAAATTTCTTATAAAAGATGTATACCCCGGCCGTGAATAAGTGCTATAGTGCTTCCCTAATATTATAGAAACGGTTATGATTTTGGAATCAGATGTAGGAAAAGGATGGTTTAAGTTTGTTGTGCATCATTCTCATGTGAGAAATGACCAAATTGAGGAGATAAGTGTATCTGTGTGAGTTTAAATTCTAAATTGTGTATGCAATTTTAAGATTTTGACAGTGAACGGCTGTTAATCTGTTAAGAAACAAGCTTCACGTTTTGTGAATCCTTAATGCTTAACACAATTACAATATCTATCCTAACAAAGCAAACGTTGTCTTGTGCCTTGGTGAAATCTGAATGCTACTGTTATCAAATTTTACAGGTGCATGACCTGTTGAAGTTGTACAATGATGCTAATGTCCCTCCTCAACGTCTTTTGTTCAAAATTCCTTCAACTTGGCAAGTGAGTAATCAGGAAAATGGAATTGTAATGCCAGCTGATTCAGAAATACTGATGTTTTTCTTAATGTGCTGATGGCTTCTTTGCTTTTTATTTAGGGAATAGAGGCTGCAAGATTGCTGGAATCTGAGGGCATACAGACACATTTGACATTTGTTTACAGGTAATTTGTTGAACATTTCGCAGAAAACTCTTGAGGTTAATACAGTAAGTATGGTATCTGATTACTGCTTAAAGGCTTGTGTCTGTCATTTTGCTTATAAAATTTTCAGTCTTGAATGCTCTTAATTAATTGCAAATATTATTTCTAAACTTCAGGAATTATATGATGTTAAGATTGATAACTTGTTTGTTCCATTCGAAGAAACACATCTATTTAACGTAGATATTAATTTTTGCTAGCTATATTCATTAAATTTTTTTGATGGAAATATTCCCATAAGTTTTTTTATTCACTTAACATGTATGCTCACTATTCTCAAGGACACAATTTCTCTGTTATTTTTATTTAACCCCATTAGGGTGACTTCTGAGCTAGGAAGATCTGATGTTAGGGGACGTTTGGTAGAGGATAATTTTTTTTTTATCCTGGAATCATGATTCATGGGAAAATGAGTTTCTCGGGAATGTTACCAAAAAACTGTTTGATAGGTAAAAAATAATACCGGGAATATTGGATAAGTTTCCTATTCTTGTCAGTTTTTTCTCATATTTTTTTTTTTCTATTTTCCCAGCAATCCAAGAATACCATTCTCTAGGTGGTTTTCTTGGATGGAATTTTCATTCACAATTTACACACAAAACAGATTCTCAGGTAAATCACTTTCCCAGGTAAATCACTTTCCCAGGTGATTTTCTGAAATGTGATACCAAACATGGTCTTCTTGGAAATCCACCCTCACTTTCCTGGGTATCTAAAAAAAATTCCCCTAACAAACACCCCCTTAATGGTATCCCGTAGAAATTCTAAACTAGTTCATGATTGTTTGAGGCTTTGCATATTAGCTTGGAACTTGGAAGTAAGCCTAAATCCTAATCTTCAAATAATAAATGGAAAGCAATCCCTGTAACAGGACATCTATAATATATAAGTTGATACAAAGCTCTAATCATGTATCCATAATTAACAAAATAAAAAGGCATATCTAAAACCGGCACTCCCCATTAAACCTCCACTAGTGAGGGTAGGGGTGAGGGCAATCCTTAAACATAGCCATACCTTTACATATTTGCAAAGAGGTTGTGTCCCACTAAAGACAAAAATTTAATGTACTGAAACAAGAAGTTTCATTACCCTAAATCATTTAAGTTAAACTTGAAATGCTTAAAATATTAGCAAGTCTGGTTCTGTTTTTTCTCATGATTGTCAGTGCGAGGAGACCTTAGAAAACATGCTACTTTGAAGTCATTATTTGTTAGAAGTACAATTTTTTGGACTTTGGACCACTATTTTGATAGCTTATGGTGTTTAGCATGACATCATGCCCTCTAGTTAGAAATTTCATGAAATGTTCTGCTTATTATTGTGTTAAAAGAAAAAGGAATCATTTGCTTTGATGAAAATCACATGGTTGGGTACTGACTACTGATGTGAAAATTTTACCAATTCATTTTCAAAATTCAAACATCTAAGTTTGTATCCTAGGATCTAGTAGCAATGCTCTATCCCATTTGATCTAAACAATTTGTATTTTATTTGTTCTTAATCATTCTATGGGTTGGTTCTATATCTGCAGCTTTGCTCAAGCTGCTGCTGCTGCTCAAGCTGGTGCTTCTGTTATTAAAATTTTTGTTGGCCGCATCAGGGTAATTTCTATCTTTCTTTGTGTGATAAGAGTGTTGGATAACATTTATCAGGTTAGCTTATCTAAACTTCGTAATTTTTCAGGACTGGGCACGTAATCATTCTGATGATGTAGAGATAGAATCTGCCCAGCTAAGAGGAGAGGATCCTGGGTTGGCATTGGTCCGTTGTTCAATATTGCTATTCTGTTCATGCTCTTGCTCTATGCTTAGAATTTAAATTTACTTTTGTGAAAATAAAATTATGAAGCTCTTGGTGAAAACCGTCTTGGTTCACTCAAGAATCAGAGCCTAGGCTTGACATAATTATGATAATAACTAACAAGGCATATACCTGAAAGCATTATTATTATTCCAGGTGACAAAAGCTTACAATTATATTCACAAATATGGACATAAGTCAAAGTTGATGGCAGCAGCAGTTCGCAACAAGCAGGACTTATTTAGTCTTCTGGGGTATTCAAAGACTTCCCAACTGTCATATACAATATAAGACCTCATTTAAGTTTGATTTGTACAGTAATTATCAATTTTTTGTTTTATATTGCTCCTTGTCCAGGGTTGACTATATCATAGCTCCGTTGAAGGTATTGCAGTCTCTTAAAGAATCTGTTGCTTCTCCTGATGAGAAGTACTCTTTTGTTAGGAGGCTATCCCCTCAGTCTGCTGCTAAATACGTGTTCAGTGATGAAGAGGTATGGTTTCAGCCTCTATAGTAGGACTTATTTGAAACTGCAAAATTAGATTGGTATCAACGTATCTCCTCCTCATAATTGCAAAACCTAATGTCATGACCCTTGGCCCTTTCTGAGTCATATAAATGGAAAATAAGAACCAATTAGGGGAAGAATAATACCAAACTTTGTTGCATGCAGTTAGTCTGTTGCTCCAATAATTTAAATCAGGGACAAGCAGATATTAACAAGCATAAACCTCAATTGCTAAGGAGCATCTGTTTTAGTTTTTACTTTTTGACTTTTCAAAGATGATGAAAGGGAGCCTTCGCTCTAAGGTTGGTGTTATCCCAGAGGTCACAGGTTTGAATCACTTAATCAGCCTCTTGCAATTGTAAGATAAGATTGCGTACTATAGTCCCACCCAGTCAGTGGGTTTGACCTTTCATTGAATCATGCACAAAGCAAGTGCTTTATATAGCATGCAGTTGCACCCCACCCCCCCCCCCCCCCCCCCCCCCTTTCTCCCTCTTTTTTTTTTTTATATATTTGAGAGACTCTACCCTTCTCATGGATTATCATGTTTCTATCTTTTAGTTTTTCCTTTATCTTTTACAACTAGAGTTAAGTATTCGCTTACAAGACATTCTGTTATGTGGGCAATAGCTTTTAGTTTAATATTTTGATATCATTCAATCAACCTGGTACTTTATGTGTGAGAACCTTTTTTCAAAAAAAAAAGAAAAAAAAGAATTGAGAATTATGTAGAGGAAAGAAAGCAATGAACTTTTTTAGGCAACAAGGTATCAAATCTCCTATCAGCTCAGGAAAATCAAAATTAGTCAACCATAACTTCCCTCACTTTACTATGTGAAAAATTTCTTGATTTTAGATTTATGTTAGTGCCATTACAATGTAATAGAAAATGTTAGCATTACTTGCCAGTTATGATAACCGTTTACCCGTTATGTCTATTGTTCAGTTTTCTTTGCATCCTCAAATCAGCCGGAGAAAGAACTATTTTATAAAATATCATTCTTGTTCTAGCGTTTGTCAGATATGCTAAAAAACCGGATTGCTTTACTAATTATTTTGCATTTATTATAATCAGCTTGTTAAGTGGGACCAAATTAGCCTTGCAAAAACCATGGGACCAGCATCTGTGCAGCTTCTAGCTGCTGGACTGGATGGTTATGCTGATCAAGCAAAGCGATTGGAAGATTTGTTTGGGAAAATTTGGCCACCACCAAATGTATGATGTGACTTCCTTATGTCGCTCGATGGATCTTTTGTCTGACGGAATAAACAGAGTACACTGCAGATGAAGGGGATCTTCCTTTCTTTTTTATTTTTTCCCTTTATCCTTGAACTCTCGAACAGTTTCCTTCCCTGTAAATCACACGGTTCCTTAAAAGCACATTTTATTATCAATACTTGTTTTTTGTTTTTTTTGGTGCAGTTGCTATTGTGTTCATCTTGTTTCTGGTGAGTTAATTGTTGCCATCTTGGGTGTGCTTCATTTAAATTTCTGATTTCTGAAGCTTGTACTTCATTTTAATGCTAATAATAATCTGTTTACTCTGAAAGGTAAGGCTAGAAGTAGGGATGCTAAGACCTGTCCCAAATCAATAACCTGTATTCGGCCAAATTTGATTAACCAAGGTCCAGGTGCCCTGATAATTAAACTTATATTTTTAAGTTGGATTTGTCCCCATGACTTGGATAAGAGATAGGATCTGTTTACAAACTTTTTTTGCAAATTACACTAAGAACGACCGGTCGTACACTGCATGATTAAAGTATGACCGGTCGTACTTAGAGTAGTTTGTAAGAGTTTTGTTACCAAAAAAGTTTGTAAATATAATCTGCCCCCTTAGATAAAGCCAAAAGGGATTATGCTTGGGCTTTGTATTGCTTTGGGACTTAGGTTTCGTTGTAATTCCTTTCCTTTAGTAGTTTGGATTTGGATCCATAAACTGTTTTTACGGCTGTGACTCTTTCTTTTCTCTTTTTTCTTCTACTTCCGATTTTATGTGTGTGATTGTTCTTGTCCTTACAATGTGTTTGGATTATAGCTTGTGAAATCAAAGTTTATTAAAAAGCGATTCTTGGGAAAGTTATATAGGAATCTTTGCCTGTTTAAGTGAGTGTTTGGTTTAGATTGCTTTAAAAATAAGGATTGGATCTTTTATTAAAGAGATAACAAATTGATGCTTGCAAAATTACAACTCCAACTTGATTATTATTGTGTCTGAAAACGAACTTGGGCATCTGATGTCTGCACTTTGGGACCCAAGAGGAACAAACAGTGCATTTGACTAGGTTTCGCACCCAGAATCTCTTATCTCTAAAGGATGATGCCACCAAATCAAATTAATCAAATTATATAATGCATATTTGTTCTGATATACTATCCAGCTTTGTCCACTATGCATTGGGCTCATCTATTGATTGAAAATTCCTAAATTTCTAGTAGACTTTTGGGCGGTCACCATATATAAATAATGGGGAACATTACTTTCATGTTACATGAGAGTAGTTCTTTCATGCTATAGAAAGAATCCAAGTGGAGTCCATCATTAAAAAACCAAAAAAAAAAAGAAAAAAAAAAGGTTGTGATTTTCGAAGTAAGAGAATAACTATCTCATATATAATGAGAGTAGTATTTCCCATAAATAATAGGCTTATTGCCTCTTATATTGTAAGAGATAAATTTATTTCGTACTCACACATAAAAGTATGTAGGACTCATGTTTTCTCTTTCTCTTTCTTCTCCTCATATGAGTCCGTGTGGGCTCCACACGTGTGTATATGTGTAGGAGATAAAATTTTATCTCCTGTAACATGAGAAACATTAAACTCATAAATAATATCTTCAACCTCATTCATTAAGCAACAATAGTATATCTCTTACCTTACATATTACTCTTAGGGATATATAAGCATTATGCAGTAGGAAGAATTTTTTTTTGTCATGCTGAAACATCGAAGTATGTGTTTGCTTTTTTTTATTATTATTATTATTCATATGGATCCCACTTGGTTTTTTATCTATTGCATAACCTAATGAATATCATGTAACATGATATTCATAATTCCTTACTTTTATTCCTCTCACTGAGCATCAGTCTTCGGTTGGCCCGTGTTTAAGGATGAGATCTATCAGATACTAAAGAAACAAAAAAGAAAGATTCAATTGAATATTATTTCTCAAGTGTTTTTCATTGTATAAGCTACATCCCATTTTATTGTTGAAGTCTTTTTAGTTTCTTGTGTCAGTTATAGTATTGAAGAGTTAATTGTCTTTTGGTTTTTCTTATGTGAGTTATGAAATTAAATTGTTATGTTTATTAGGGATATAATGGCTGACATTATGACGTTATGAATAGTTAATTAGTGGTGTTATGAGACTCTTGATTAGCTTTGTAATGAGTCTCTTCATTGGTACTTTCAGTTTTTTTTTTTTTTTTTTTGTAATAATACATAAAGTACTTTCAGTTTTTAGTGTTGCCTATTAATAGGCTTGATGTATTGAAGAAATATGATGTATTCCCTTTTTAGTATTTTGTTACGTGTTTCAATTTGAGTCTCAATATTCTAATAGTGGTATCAAGAGCCAGGTTGAGAGTTAAACACATGAGGGAATTGAGTTGTGAAAAAAAAAGTGAAGAGTATAAAGTGAAGAGTCATGGCCACAGATTCTAATTTTGTGCAAGCAGCCATTCCACGTTTCTATGGTCATTATGATCATTGGAGCATGTTGATGGAGAATTTCTATCGATCCAAGGAATATTGGGATGTAGTTACCAATGGTGTTGTTGAACCAGCACTAGCAGAAGGAGCTCAGTTGACAGCAGCACAACGAGCAGCTCATGAAACAATAAAGTTGAAGGATTTGAAGGCGAAGAATTATCTCTTCCAGGCCATTGACCGTTCTATCTTGGAAACCATTCTTACCAAAGAAACTTCAGAGGATATTTGGGACTCCATGAAAAAGAAGTATCAAGGCTCTGCAAGAGCAAAGAGGCAGCAGCTTCAAGCTTTACGCTCGGAATTCGAAACACTTCGAATGAAGTCGGGAGAATCAATTGCAGATTATTTCTCTCACGTGATGACCATTGTCAATAAAAAGCGAATTCATGGAAGCAGGACAGAAGAAATAACTGTCATAGAAAAAATTCTTCGATCATTAACAGCAAAATTTAACTTTGTTGTTTGTGCTATAGAGGAATCTAAAGATATAGATGATTTGTCACTTGATGAATTGCAGAGCTCATTGGTGGTGCATGAACATAAGTTCAAACAGGAAGACACAGATGAGCAAGCATTAAAGGGTTCTACCGATACTCGTTCCAACAATTTTCAAGGAAGGGGTAGAGGCAGAGGTAGAGGCAAAGGCAGAGGCAGAGGAAGGTCCACTAATTTCAGAGCCAATAATGATCAATTTCAAGGAAGAGGCAGAGGCAGAGGAGGAGCCCCTGATAAATCCAAGGTAGAATGTTTCAGGTGTCATAAATTTGGTCATTATCAATCTGAATGTTATACTAGGCTGCCAAATAACAAAGAAAAAGGAGAAAGTTCAAACTTTGTAGAAAAGGAGGAAGGTGAAACCTTATTGATGGTTGCTAAAGATGAAAAGAAAATTGAGCCAGATGTTTGGTATGTGGATACTGGCTGCAGCAACCACATGAGTGGTAGTAAGTCTTCTTTCTCTCATCTGAATGAAAATTTTCAATCTACTGTGAGTTTTAGTGATCATTCTACTGTAAAAGTAATGGGAAAATATGACATTAAAATAAAAACCAAGAGTGGTTTTGTGGAAACAATATCTAATGTATTGTATGTTCCTGATTTGAAAGTAATTTATTGAGTGCTGGCCAAGTACAAGAAAAGGGTTATGTGATCACTATTAAAAATGGTGTTTGTGAAATTTATGATTCTGTTAGAGGTGTTATTGCTGTTATTCAGATGAGTTCAAACAGATTGTTTCCATTAAAGATTGAAGGAATCCAAACTAGTTTAATGGCTGAAATAAAAGATCCTTCATGGTTGTGGCAATTTCGCTATGGCCATTTGAGCTTTGGTGGGTTGAAGACGCTCCAACAGAAAAATATGGTGACAGGCCTCCCTAAAATCACAATTCCTCATTCCATAGTATGTGAAGAATGTGTTGTTAGCAAATCACATCGTTTTGAATTTGTAAAAGGGAACTCATGGAGAGCAAAGGGAATTTTGCAATTGGTGCATTCAGACATTTGTGGTCCAATAAATCCAATTTCTAATGGAGGTAAAAAAATATTTAATTACCTTCATTGATGATTTTTCTAGAAAAACGTGGGTTTATTTTTTACAGAAAAAGTCAGAAGCTTTCTCTACATTTAAAAATTTCAAAGCTCGTGTGGAGAATGAGACAGGAGGGATGATTCAGACACTTCGCACAGATCATGGTGGTGAATATTGCTCAAAAGAATTTGAAGCTTTTTGTGAAGAACATGGCATCCGAAAAGAGCTTACAACTGCGTATACACCACAATAAAATGGTGTATCAGAGAGGAAGAATAGAACCATCCTCAACATGGTTAGAAGCTTGTTGGCAAGAGGAAGAGTTCCAAAGACATTTTGGCCAGAAGCAGTAAACTGGTGCATTCATGTCTTGAACAGAAGTCCAACCTTTGCCGTTCGAAATATGACGCTAGAAGAGGCTTGGAGTGGGAGAAAACCAAATGTGGATCACTTTAGAATTTTTGGGTGCATTGCATATGCTCATGTCCCGGATCAGAAAAGAAAAAAACTTGATGACAAGGCTGAAAAATGTGTCTTTCTAGGTGTAAGTGATACATCTAAAGCATATAAATTATTTAATCCACTGACAAAAAAAATTGTGGTTAGCAGGGATGTTGTTTTTGATGAAGAAAACACTTGGGATTGGAATATGCAGTAGCCTACCCAAGTTCTTTGTGATATTGATTCTGAACAAGAACAAATTTTAGCATCTAGTATGCCTGAAAATTCGTCCATTGCAACTTTTGCAGCTAGTCAATCCTCACCAAGAGTAGTTGAAGTTAACGAAGAAGGAACTCAATCTCTTCTTCGTGTTAGAAGAAGGCCTGCTTGGATGGAAGATTATGAGGTAACTGGAATTGAAGATCCAATTACTCACTTTGCTTTGTTTTCAGAATGTGATCCCGTGACTTTTGAGAGTGCTGTCAAAGAAGAAAAATGGCGAAAAGCAATGGATGCTGAAATTGATGCAATTGAGAGGAATGATACTTGGGAGTTATTTGATCTTCCAAATGGACACAAAACTATTGGTGTGAAGTGGGTGTTCAAAACAAAGTTAAAGGAAAATGGTGAAATTGACAAGCACAAAGCACGCTTGGTTGTCAAGGGGTACAAGCAACAATATTGGATTGATTATACAGAAGTTTTTTCTCCTGTTGCGAGACATGATACAATCAGG